TTCATGGTAAAACCTACAGGTTAGACTCCACTTCCTTGTAAGACATAGTAAGTGTGTGGCTCGGATTGATATTGTAGAAGTTTACATCATAATCCACACATGTGAATTGTGTAAATATGAATCACCACTAGGAGCTCTCACTCATTCACTGTGTATTTCTGTGTGGAACTGTCTGTGTAATTAAAACCATTCATAGCAGTGCAATCTGGAAAATCAGGCTGCGTTGAGGGGCATGGCGGCTAAAAATAACTGGTTTCCCACGCGGACCTCACAGTCCCACCAAATATAAACCTGGATTTTGATTTTTAAGGCTCAGATTCAAAATTTTAAAAGTTTAAACAATTTCTGATACTTTGCTCTATGCAAAAATATGAGGCAATGAAAAGTCACTCAATCACTTTTAATATTCCTCTTAGTGAACATGTTTTGAAGTATTAGTTTTGGTTATTTGGTTGTTGTTGTTTTTTTTGTTTCTGTTTGATATTGATATTGTTCTGTGAATATCAGCCCAAATGACGTCGTCTTAAAGCAACAAAAATGTTCTTGGCAAAATAAACCCCAAGTTAATCAACTAGGGTAGTTTTCCCCCAAAAAAACCAATCCACTGGACGTTGTTTCCAAATTTAAAGACATTTCGTCTCCCATCCAGGAAGCTTTTTCAATTCAAAATGTCAGAAATAATGTTGAGCTCCAGGCTTTATAGAGTGGATCAGAAAACATGCAAATTTACCTGGATGAACCATTTACATGTTTTCTAAGCCCCCAAAAAATCCATAAATTAATAAAAAATCCTAAATATAGCAGAATAAAAACAGATCCATTGTATGTAATATCTAAAATAGATAAACAAGGTGGGATTTAAAGCTTCTTTTTCAGTCTGCTAACTTGCTTAGATCTTGTCCCTCTGATTATTGTGATTATGAATCTCTGCATGTTTCATTTTAGGGGCTGAGCTTTTGTTTCCATAAAACATTGCAAAACGAAGCACACGTTGGAGTTAATTGCAGCAGATTTGAAGAATTTAAGGGCTAAAGGCAGCATTTCACACAGCTGAGTTTTTTGCTCCTACTTTTTTTCCTTCTGGTTAAATAATGCAGGCAGAACCCATACAGGTGAGAAACCATTTATATGCGAGACATGTGGAAAAAGTGCAGAAGGAACTCCCTTTTGTCAGACATTTGCAAACATTGCTTATTCACCCCTATCCTGTTTATTCCTGAGGCTTTTTTAAATAGTTCTTATGCTTTTCTCCCTGTTTGTGTGGTTTTCAGTCCCTCTCTGCTCAAACTGCTCCAACTGGGCTGAGGC